TATATATATATATATATATTTCTCCAAAAAAGTCATTTTCAGCTACCTTAAAAAAAGCTATGACTTGGATCCGTTTGGTTGGCTTACAGGGCAATTGAAAATCTATTCCAAGAAGATAGAATTATGTATTGTTGGAGATGAAATAATTTTAGGCAGCTATGTTGAATTTAAGAACTTAGTCATTTATTTATCTTAATTGATCAATAGTTGCTATCCTAAAAATTATTACTCATTCAACGTAAACTTGTGATGACCGTAAAAAATGGAAATTATTTTTCTAAGTTTCAACACACAACACCTTGTTCATGATATAATTTGACTTAATCTGGTGGATGCAAACTTGTGTACTATTTAACCAGAGAGTTTTTGGCGTATCTTCTTTATCTGTTGATCAAGCATTCTTAATAATTGAAGATATTATTGTATCAGCCTGCAATATGCAGCAAAAAGCTTGCATTCTTCTCATCTTATGGCTTCCATTTAGCTTGGCCATATCAAACCAGACCCTCGACAACAGCACAATCGCCCTACCCGGCTGCCCAACTGAGTGCGGGAATGTATCCATTCCATACCCATTTGGTATCGGTTTAGATTCTGGATGTTCCATTGGCCCATGGTTTGATATCAACTGTAATGCATCTTTTAACCCTCCAAAACCCTTCCTCAGCAAAACTAATGGCGAGATTATCAATATATCAGACACCCAAATCCGTATCAAAAGCAATGGGATAGCTTACAGATGCTATAATCAGACTGGTGGTATAACTCGCGAATCTCTAGCCACATATGGTATAGAAGAAACCTCCCCCTTCAGCTTTTCAAATGAAAATAAGTTCATAGTTGTGGGATGTGATGATGTTTCCTATATGGTAAGAGCGGGCACTGGTAACTCAATCAGTTCATGTGCTGCCTTATGTTCAACGAGGAAGGACTTGAGTGATGGATCCTGTTCTGGAATTGGCTGTTGTCAAAACTCCATTCCCAAGGGCGTAAAGAAATACTCTAATTTCCTGAAAAGCTACGGAAATCACACGAACGTCTCGTCCTTCAACAGCTGTGGCTATTCCTTTGTTGGAGAACCGGACAGCTATACGTTTCACTCATCTGATGTCTTTGATCCTACTTCTGTTCTCAGAATTGTAGAAACTGTTCCAATGGTAGTGGACTGGGTGATTGGGAATCAAACATGTGCTGAAGCTCAGAAATCCAGTCAATTTGCTTTCAGGAAAATAGCACCTGTGTTGATTCTGATACTGGTCTTGGAGGATATCACTGCAACTGCTCCGAGGGATACAAGGGAAATCCATATCTTAGACCAGGTTGCCAAGGTTAGTTGATATCTGTTTTAACACTCTGAGCATATTTAGTACATAGTATTGGTCATTACTCGACAATGGACAAAAATTTTTACTTCTTTTTTTGGTTCATATTGTCAATCTGTCAAATCTAGCTTACCAAAGAAACTGTCTATAGATAAATAAAAATGAATTGTCAAAGAGCAATGAGAACAATGTTTATTTCCTTTGGCTCAGCCATGACTCTTCACTCTACTGCATTTTCAGACATCAACGAATGTGAGAACAATCCGTGTCATCAATACGAAATCTGCAGTAATACTCCAGGCGGTTATAAGTGCTCTTGCCAGCATGGTTACCTTGGTGATGGCAGCAAATTTGGTTCTGGTTGCATTGCCCAGCGTTCAAATAAAGCATCAGTGTTCTCAGGTAGGTTATAAACATATAGTTACCCCTGCAAATTTACTCATATCACTTCTCATCATGTTCATCACATTCAATCAAAAGTAAGAACTTTTCATTCGAAGCATTGTTGAGAACGAGGGACGAAGGGAAATCCTTGCAACTTCTACTAATACCTTTAAATCATTAAACTTTAGATAAGCATAGAAATATTATGCTGAAAAAAGATTTTTTTCTTCTTTTTTTGTAATTTGAATTTTAGACAGACTCGATGAACAGGGTTTTTATGTGGAGTTCAAACCATTATTAATCTAATCATTAGTTAATACATGAAAAAAATTCGGACTCATATAGGATACTTTTCCTTTATTTTCTTATTATAAATAAATAAAAAGCAGATCCATTCAACGGATGAAGGACCGAACAAGCACGGTGACCTATCAGGCTCCTAGTTCCATAAGAAATCAAACACATGTTCTATGCACAGTAAGAGAAAACCATTGAACAATTTTTGAAGGCTTAAGAAACAAACAAAACAAAAATCTAATTTGACTTGAAGTCAAGAAAATAAGGGAGAATGAAGTGTAATATAGTGATTACAGTAAAAGAAAGGAATACTCACAGCAGTGATTTTTTCTTTTCTGGTTGACTATTTGTCCAGTTAGTTTCTCATACACATAATGAATGCTTAGAAGTCATAGAGTTCTCAAACAGCTGCAAATGCATGAATCTGTCTAATTTGACATGTCTCTTGCAGGTTTAAGTTCGAGCATCGGATTGTTATTACTTATAACAGTTACCTATTGGCTGTACAAAGTAGTGAAGAAGAGGAAGAAACATAATCGTAAACAAAAATATTTCAAACGAAATGGTGGTCTTTTACTACAGCAACAAGTATCTACTAACGAAGGCCACATAGAAAAAACAAAACTTTTCACAGCTAAGGAGTTGTCGAAGGCAACTGATCAGTTCAATGAAAGTAGAATACTTGGACGAGGTGGTCAAGGTACAGTTTATAAGGGCATGTTATCTGATGGAAGAACTGTTGCAGTAAAGAAGTCCAAGTTAGTAGGGGAAAATCAACTGGAGCAGTTTATAAATGAGGTCGTAATCCTATCTCAAATTAACCACAGAAATATTGTTAAGCTACTTGGTTGTTGTTTGGAGACAGAAGTTCCTTTGTTGGTTTACGAATTTATTGCTAATAGAACTCTCTTCGATCACATCCATGACACCAGTGCAGAGTTTCCTACGACATGGGATATGCGCTTAAGAATTGCAGCAGAGGTAGCAGGAGCTCTCGCTTATCTACATTATTCAACTTCCACGCCCATTTATCACAGGGACATCAAGTCGAGCAATGTCCTTTTAGATGAAAACTATAGACCCAAAGTGTCAGATTTTGGATTTTCAAGGTCTATCGCAGTAGATAAAACTCACTTCACCACCTTAGTTAAGGGGACCTTTGGCTATCTAGATCCAGAATACTTCCGGTCAAGCCAATTTACTGATAAGAGCGATTTCTACAGCTTTGGTGTTCTTATTGAGCTCTTATCAGGACAGAAACCAATATCTTCAAGTGATATAGAAGACGAAAGAAGTTTAGCAACTCGTTTTTTTATGTCTATGGAACAAAATTGCCTTCATAAAATTCTTGATCCTAAAATTTTAGAGCATGATAAAGATGAAGATATCATTGATGTTGCTACTTTAGCATATTGATGTTTGAATTTGAATGGAAAGAAAAGGCCAACAATGAAAGAAGTCGCCATGGAATTGGAGAATATTAGGCTATCTAAGGGGCCAGTGACTGTCCAAAGAAATAAGCTAGTAATAAGCACTGAAGTGGGATCAGTAGCACTATCAGACCTCAACTCCACATGGACATCTAGTGATCGTGAGAGCACTGTACCGTCAGAAACCAATTCCTTGCGACATTACACTGTTTGATAGAACAAGGATGCATGTTTAATGTTATTGCAATCAGGACTAAAACAATTTTGGTTTTATCATAAAATGCAACATTAATAAAGTATATATTGTAACTTTTCTGTAGCAGTCAGATACAGTAATTAAAAAATTGTTCTCAGATGGAGAGAATAGAGAATGGAGGAGAGACAGAAGCACAGAAACCGCTCAAGTATGGGTATTGGGACCTTTAGAATTGGTCCCAGCCCAGATTTTTCTTTATTCAAATATGAAGGTTCTTAGATTAAGTTTTGGAAAGTGATTCATGTGTTTAGAACCTTAAATAAATTTCTTACACAGATAAATAGAAAGACATAATACTTGAGATTTACAAGTACTATTCATTCTTTCACATCTCATTTGTATATATCTTATAATTTAAATCAATTAAAACACAGATGAAAGAAAATATATATTGAATATAAAGCAAAATCTAGGAAGCAATCAGAAGTCAAATACCCATTGGGGTAGAATTCTTCTTTCCTTCTTCTGCGGCGAACTAAAATTGTGACGTAATCCAACTCACAAAGCAAGTGCAATACTCTAGATGGTACCTCCTTAAAAGAAAGCTGGAGTTTCTTTCTAGAAAGTTCATGAAATAGATAAAGTGCAAGGCATAAAAGCACTAACCGAAAATTGTGTAGAACATTTTTGATACTAGAATATTTGTGCATGTGGTGTCACGGGTATTGCCACCAAAAATAATTGGTTCAAAGCTTTTAGCCACCTGAGATTTCGACAATTACTGTGAATGTTCAAATCGAAACCTGTGTTACTTTATGCGTAAATATCGTGTATTTCTAAAATTATTTTTATTTGAAAAAAGTGTGGGATTGCTGAAAAATTGTTCAAATAAAAGTGATACCGAAAGTTTAAATGGCTCACACTATAAAGGGCGAAATTTGGACTTAAATAACTCAAAGAAAGTTTGTGATTTTGAGGAAAATATATGGAGGGACGTTTAAGAAACATTTAAATTGTTCATTGGAATGAATAAGTTTAGTGCATGTGCACCACAAATGCGGTGAAATGGAAGATATCTTGACGTCAACGGCTAGTAGTCACCTTGGCGTCATTAATATTAGCTAAATCTATGTGTCGAAGTGAACTTCAAAACAATCTCAAACCAAACCAAGAGGGGGCAAATATCGATTTTGAAAAGCGTATTGTATACGTGTTTTAGTCCTCCATTTTTTTCCGGCCATTTCCTTGTACATGTTTCCTGTTTTGTTCTTCAATTTGAGTTCAAATTTCTGTCTCCTATCATCTTCAAAATAGTCCAACCTACTATAATGTTTCCATGCTTTCCTTAACTTTTGTTTCTTGTTCTTCTTCAACTTGAATATCAAGAGCCTTCTAATCTTGTCATATCTACATCTAGGCATAGTAAATATGGATGACAAATGCTTTCAACTCAATACTAATTTTTTTCTTCAAAAACCTAATATGTACACAATTCTTATAAGTGGTTGACAAAAAGACTTGAACCGAAGATGTCCATTTGCTCTGATATAATACCGATTTATCTTATTTAAAAGTTTAAACGATTAAAGAATGAAAAAACTTATTTTTTAAAATTATGTTTAGGAAATATCTCATCAAGAATGAGGACGAGGCTATCTAAATAACACCAAAAGTCACTCAAGATGATGGTGTCAAAGTCTTCTGAAAAAGTATTACATGTGGAAAAATTCACTAGAGAACATGTTGGAAAAAATTAAAACAAGGGAAATAGAAATAAGACTTGATCACGAAAAGAGTATCGTTGTCCTCAAACGATATTTACCTCTTCCACCAAAGCTTTTGAGGATTATAATGACAAATAATTTATAGGAGTCAAGTCTGAAATGAAGAACACCAAAAGCTTCAAATGATTCTTCAAAGTGAACAAATGAAAAAATGTATATAAAAGTGATTATATGAAGAACAAAATAAATGGACAGAATTTAGGATGAAATGGAATGATCTCAAGTGATTAAAAAGTTATTTTGGATGATAATTTACTCATATTTATAGTGTTCAATCATTCCCACACGAAATGGTTCCAAACCATGTTGAAAAGATTTGTTGTTTCACAAGAAAACCATCAAAATCATGTTGAAAATGTATGTTGCTTCACAAGAAAACCATCAAAATTTTGAATTAATGGTAAGATTTTTCAAATTCATTCTTTTCTATTCCAAATTCATCCATACATAAACATTTTAATCCATCAAATTATGATTTTGAACAACAAGATTTCCAACAATCCCCCACTTGTTCAAAATCAATTCTATCAAATATCAACACTTATGCATAAGAGTTAGATATCTTTCGATTTGAATATAACCGTAGTGTAAATCTCATAAAGCATTATCGAAATTCCAGGTAGCTAGAATGCTTTGAACCAGTTATTCCTTGTGACAATACCGATGAAATCACACACACAAGTGTTAAATTTCACAAGTTCCTATAACCCGCTTAGTGCTAATATGGCCTTGCACTTATCCTATTTCTTTGAACTTTTAAAGAGAGAAAACTCCAACTCTCTAATGAGGTGGCACCACCTCAAAATTTACATAGGTGAAGTTCTTACAGTATCTTTGTTACTTTTAGAGATACTTGTACTCCATACTCAACTTCATTAAGAATTTATAATTCAACCCTCTAACAGTAACAACCAACACTATTCGTCAACGATATGATTTAATAATTTCCATAGTGTTGAGATTCATCCACTTATCGAATGACTTGTTATTACCCCTTGAACCTAAATATACTTGTTTAGTATAATTTGGTAGGGTTGCTATCATTGGTGGATTTATTTAAGGAGTTTCAACCCCATCTATTTGAAGTCGATCTTACTAACTCTCTTGTAAGAGGTTTAGTAAATGGATCTGCTAAGTTCTCACTAGAATTAACAAATGTAAGAGAAATTATTTCATGCTTGATTAATTTCCTTACATACTCATATCTTAGACTCATGTGTCTAGACTTTCCATTATATACTTCGCTATAAGCTCGAGCAAAAGTAGCTTGACTATCACACAAAATAGGTATTGATGAAATATCCTTTATATCAAATGGTATTTCATATAATAAATCTTTTAGCCACTCAGCCTCTTTTCCGATTTTGGCCAATGCTACAAACTCTAATTCCATTGTTGAGTGAGTAATGCAAGTTTGTTTCTTAGACTTCCAAGAAACTGCACCTCCTCTAAGAGTAAATATTCAACCCGTAGTGGATTTATTTTCTCCTGCACTTGATATCCAACTTGCGTCTGAATATGCTTCCAAAATTTTAGGGAATCTTGTTTATTGTTGCCCAAGCTCTTTGGTTTTCTTTTAATATCCAAGAACCCTACCGATAGCTTTCTAATGTTCAGAACTTGGATTGCTAGTAAATCTACTTAGTTTACTCACGGCAAATGCTACATCAGGTCTTGTACATTGTGCAGCGTACATAAGACTTCCAATTGCACTTGCATATTCTATTTGAGCTATTGCTCTTCTATCATTCTTTATCAATTTTATACTTGGTTCAAACGGGGTATTAGCTTCTTTAGTAGGATTCAAGTCTGAAATGAAGAACACCAAAAGCTTCAAGTGATTCTTCAAAATACATAATTTGACCATTCCATAAGCAGATTAGCCTTTTCCAACAAAATACCCATTATGGTTAGTACAAGTTTCCCGAATTCAAGAACAGTTTTTATTCCGGATTTTCCCAACAAAACTCCACTTGCTAAGTTCCTATTCATATCGGTACATGAAGGACATTGGTTAAAGTTATTTTCTTCCCCGAAGTGAAAATGATTTCCACGTTCCCTTTGCCAATCACATTTGATCTTCCTTCATTTTACATTTGAATTTCTTAACCATCTTGAATGTCATAATAAGTTTTAAAGAGTGACTTGTCATAGCAAATATGGACGGTTGCACAGGTGTCATACCACCATCCCGGAACTTTCCCTTGGACTGCATTGATTTCGCTCACCGTAGCAATAATTTCATCAATGGAGTTTACATGTCCTTCCTTCTTTGGATGTTTTTTATGCCTGCAATCTCTTGCATAGTGTCCTGGCTTTCCACAAACGTAGCAAAGTCCTTGGACTTATTTTTGAACTTCCCATAATCATTTTTAGGGCCAAGAGGTTTTCCCTTTTTCTTGTACTTGTTAGTGTTGTCAACATTATCCACGGCATTGGCTTTCGAAGAGCCATCATAAGAACTTTCGGTCTTATCTCTTGCCCTTGATTCTTCCTCTATGCGAAGATGTTTTTGTATATGCTCCAAAGAGAAGTCTATGAAATTATGAAGAATCTTCTTTCCATAACCTTTCCAAGACCCCGGGAGTTTAGCAATAATTGATCTCCTTGAAAAGTTTCGAGAAGTTCGATCTTCACAACTTTCAGTTTGTTGACTATTACTTGTAGTTCATGCACTTGAGGCAATAATGGTATGTTATCAAGCATTTTGAAATCAAAATATTTTGAAATCAAAAATTTCTCCGTACCTTCTTCTTCGGCTTTATATTTACTTTCAAGAGCGTACCGGATTTCCTTTGCCAGAGTACTATTGGTATAGAGATCATACAAGAGATCCAAAAGTGCATTTAGAATATGGCCCCGGCATATCAACTCATCCTCTTCACGCTTCTTTCTTTCAGCATGAATTTCATCAGTATCTTCATCATTTGCATCGGGAATAGGCTCCATTTTTGGATCAAGAACATAGAAAATATTCAACGCCGTAAGAAGGAATTTCAGTTAGGCTTGCCATCTAGTGAAGTTTGCATCGTCGAATCTATCCAATCGTACCAAATCTTGATTCATCATCTTGATGGTTGCAAGTGTTGACTCTGTTTCCATCGCAGTAAATTATGTAGTATCATTTGAGAATGTTGGAAAAAATTAAAGTAATGAAAATAGAAATAAGACTTGATCACAAAAATAGTATCGTTGTCCTTAAACGATATTTGTCTCCTACACCAAAGCTTTTGAGGATTATAATGACAAATAGTTTGTAGGATTCAAGTCTGAAATGAAGAACACCAAAAGGTTCAAGTGATTTTTCAAAGCGAACAAGTGAAAAAATGTATATAAAAGTGATTATATGAAGAATAAAATAAATGGACAGAATTTAGGATGAAATGGAATGATCTCAAGTGATTAAAAAGTTATTTTGGAATGATAATTAACTCATATTTATAGTGTTCAATCATTCCCACACGAAATGGTTCCAAACCATGTTGAAAAGGTTTGATGTTTCACAAGAAAATCACCAAAACCATGTTGAAAATGTATGTTGCTTCACAAGAAAACCACCAAATTTTGAAATTAACGGTCAGATTTTTCAAATTCATTCTTTTCTATTCCAAATTCATCCATACATAAATGTTTTAATCCATCAAATTATGATTTTGAACAACAAGATTTCCAACGGAACGTTGGTGCTTTAGAGTTGCCTTCCATTCTAAGCAATTGGTTTGACACCAACAGAATTACATCGTGGAACCATGTCTAAATGCTTTGTAGTTCAACATAAACAATATATGTTCCCAAGTTTCTGCTTTCAGAACTTACAATGGACAAAAATGAAAGAATATTAAGTGTACAAATGAAAGTGAGAAACTGCGCAAAAAAAAAAACCATAATTCTTTTGTGATTTCTGCAAGAGTAATTAATGGCTATGGAATTCTTATAGAAATTCTGATTATGTATACTTGTAGTGCTTGTATATTTTCCATTTAGGATGTATCTTCTAGGTTGGATGATTATCTATGCGTCTTAATAATCAGAGATTCGGGAGTCAAGTCGATTTAGTCTCTATTCATGTATCTGGTCTTCTAGTCTATAGATGTTTTTTTCTATATAGTGGACCAGCCTTCCAATTGAATGGACATATGAATCACCCAAGTTGTGTTTTCTAGTAGTAATGCTACTTGTATATAATTATTTCCAGATTGATGTACAGACGAGGTAATAACAGCTTGGAAGAAAGACAGAAAAAATAAAAAGAGAGAAGGAAATCATTTAAATTTTAATATAATGCCATGTCATCAATATGTACATCAATTTGTAAATGATTATTTACATGTAGCATTATACCTTTTTTAAAGGTAAAGGTGTAACTCTATCATTTATCTTGTGATTCTTGTGGAGTTCTTGATGGGACAAATCTTCAACTACATCAGAAGAAGTCTAGCTAGTAACAAGTTTTCTTTTATCTCAGAAAGGAAAATAGCTGAACACAATACTTGATCGTCGAATTCTCGAAAATAGTGTGAAGATATAGATCCTTATTGTTGCTAATCTTGCACATAGATGTTTGGACTTAAATGGAAGAAAAAGGCCAACTGTAAAAGAAATAGCCATGGAGTTGGACCAGATAAGAATGTTTCCCACGTGCTGATTTATGCATTTTCTTTACACATTGTGGCTGATTTGGGACAATCTTTCTTTCATTGCCCTTTCCCACGAGATTTGCATCTTCCCCTTGGTTTTTGACCTTTAGAGCTACCCTTTATTGCATAAACATCTGCTGTTGCATCTTTGTGAACTTTCTGATCTCAGTATTGTACAGTCTTGTGCATGAGTATTCAAGATTTGGTTTGTCTTTTTCATAAATCAAAGTGGTGGTAAAATCTACATATTCATCGGGAAGAGAACCCAACTGTTGTGTTATCTTCATCTTCGAATACTTCATTCAAATTCAACAAGTCAGCTAACTGATTAGAAGAAGTGATATGGACGTCAATAGTGATACCTAGTTGATATTGGAAGTGCAGGAGTTTATTTTTCTAATTGAGTCGATTTCCAATTCTCTTTCAATTAAATTTTCCTCTAGCGCTCTCCACATATTTCTCTTGGATATTTCCTCCATAACGGATACTTCTGGTTTTCAGATATAACATATCACGAGTTTTACCAAATGCATTGAGATTGATCATTGATCATTGTGTGCATTAGTGTCTTCTCCGACTTTTCTTTCAAAGCAATTTCAATTTTCTAACTTATCAGCGTGCCTAGGACCCGGTGTTGCAACATACCGAAATTATTGTACCGTGCCAATTGTTAGGAAAAATGCATGTCAAATATTGCTAATGGAATACGAGAACCCAATAATTTACGAGATTCGGTAAAATTTACATATGTCGTTAGGCACTACAAAGCCTATCCTCTAACTTTAAAAGAGGAACATTACAAACTTTATTGCAATTGTGAAATTAAGTAGAACTAGAAGATTTTCGAGATATCATCTTCCTAAACCAAAAGGAAACAATATTTAAGAACTCAGCTACTTTTCTTTGTTGTGTCTAATACGAAGAGTGAAGGGCTCTTCATAATTTATATAGTTTCCATAATAGACTTGTCTTTATTCAACTTTAGACTAACCCTATTAAAAAAAAGCAATTTTACTGCATGTACAAAATAACTTACATAATGATCATTTACCAATAGATCAGCAATCAAATAATTTTTCCACTTACATTTTGACACCTCATCATTATGTAAAACATTATGTAAATGATTGTGTACAAGAATCATTTTCCTAAGCATTTAGACCCCCCTTTTTTTGGCTTATGGGGTACGTCCAAACTAATATTTTCCCACTTAATTTTCACAATGCTCGCAGCTAGTAGGGAATGCCTTAGCAAGACTGAATATGGTTCCTATAATGAGATTTGACAAAGTTCTATTGTGGATATCAAATTACTATGACTCTCTCAATTTTCTAGGGCTACGGAAAACACTGGTTGAGTACTGTACAAAAATTAATTAACTAAAAACAAGTTCAAGGTAACTGAAAAATCTGATCTAATCCTCGTATTCTAATTTTATATTTGTACTACCGGAAGAGACAAGGAAACAATTCGATTTTATTAATATGCAATTACGTTAAACCTCGTTCACTCAATGCCGGCTGTCGTTCAATCCAACTTCTTCTCACCGCTGTCGGCAATTTGAACAAGAAACCAAATATGTTCTTTTTAAGGTGGAAAAACCAAGAGTTAATTCATTACATGACTAAGCAAGCAAAGTTTGCCACTGATTAAGCAAATGAACTTGGTTTTGCATACTGCTGCCTTTACTTTCTTGTGGCTGCAGCTTCCACTATTGCTTGCTGACAATAGTAACACCGCCACGGCCACCACCACGGCAAAACCTGGCTGCCAAAACACGTGTGGGAATCTAACTGTTCCATACCCTTTTGGTATTAGCGTAAATGGTAATTGTTCCCTCAGTCCGTCGTTCGATATCAACTGCAACACATCTTCGGACCCTCCCAAGGCCTTTCTTGGCACAACTGATCTCGAGGTCACTGCTATATTTGACCAGAAAATATGGGTCAAGAATTCCATGGCATCAGTGTGCTATGATAAAGATGGAAATACAACTATGTATAACTCGGTGACTATCAGTTTAATGAACACTTCTTTTAGCCTGTCTATTGAAAACGAGCTCACAGTCATTGGATGTGATGACTATACGTTGTTAGAAGATATGGAAGATTCCATAAGTGCTTGCGTGGGTATATGTTCGAAATTCCAGGATTTGAGTGATGGAGTTTGCTCTGGAATTGGCTGTTGCCAGGCCTCCATAACAAAGGGTTTACAGTATTTCTATGCTTCCCTGTTAAGCTTGAATGATCATCTTAATGTCTGGTCATTTAATCCCTGTGGCTACGCGTTTCTTGGAAAGCAGGATAGGTACACGTTTCAAGTATCTGATCTCAATAATGCGTCGTTCTCATTAGATAACGTGCCATTGGTGATTGAATGGGAAATTGGGGACAAAAGTTGCACTGAAGCTCAGAATTCGACTGGCATTAACCTATGTTATGGAGAAAGTATTTGTGTTGATTCTGATACTGGAGTAGGGGGTTACAACTGCAAGTGCTCTACAGGATCTGCAGGCAATCCTTATCTCAGTCCAGGCTGCAAAGGTTAGTTATAAGGACTTTTCCCTATTCGATAAAAATATGTATACCATCATTGTTTGGCCTGGCCATTATCGGGCTAATTTGATGAAAATTCCTTTGCTAGATGTTGATGAATGTGAGGATGATCCATGTGATGAATATGCCACCTGCAATAATCTTCCAGGTACTTACAGTTGTGAGTGTCGGGAAGGATTTCTCGGTGATGGCAGAAAAGATGGTCTTGGTTGCATTCTCGTGAATTCAACGTACTCCTCTAGGTATGCAGGTAATGAATCTCTCATGCTATAAGTGATGCAGAATTAAGAAAGTCAGTTTACTTGAAATAGGTAAAAAAAACCAGAGATTATCTGATCCATTGGCAATATGGTACAATTAACTATCTTAACATACATATAATGGATTTTTCATACAGTTTTATGCATAGCCTTGGTATTACCGTTCCTATTGGGGGTTACCTTCGTGTTGTACAAAGTACTGAAGAAAAGGAAAAGAAATAAGCGCAAACAGAAATTTTTCCAACGAAATGGAGGTCTTTTGTTTCAACAACAAGTATCATCTAATGAAGATGTCCTTGAGAGAATGAAACTTTTCAGTTCTAAGGAGTTGGAGAAGGCAACTGATCGCTTCAATGAAAGCCGAATAATTGGTAAAGGAGGCCAAGGCACTGTCTATAAAGGCATGCTATCAGATGGAAGAATAGTTGCAGTGAAGAAATCCAAGTCAGTCAGTGCAAATCAACAAGAGGAATTTATAAACGAGGTTGTCATACTTTCACAAATAAATCACAGAAATGTTTTGAGGCTACTAGGATGTTGTTTAGAGACTGAAGTTCCTTTGCTAGTTTATGAATTCATTTCCAATGGAACCCTCTTTGACCTCATACATGACGAAAGTCCCAATTTTCCATTTTCATGGGATGTGCGCTTGAGAATCACAGCAGAAGTATCAAATGCCCTTGCCTATCTGCACTATGCATCTTCCGTTCCCATTTATCACCGGGACATCAAGTCGAGTAATATCCTTTTAGATGAAAAATATAGAGCTAAAGTGTCGGATTTTGGAATTTCAAGGTCTATTGCGTTAGACCAAACCCACTTAACCACCAAGGTCAAAGGGACATTCGGGTATCTAGATCCTGAGTATTTTCGGTCAAACCAATTCACAGAAAAGAGTGATGTTTATAGCTTTGGCGTCGTTATGGTGGAGCTTTTGACAGGACAGAAGCCAATATCTTCAAGTCCATCAGAAGAGGAACTAAGTTTAGTTACACGTTTTCTTTTATCCATGAAGGGAAAACAGCTTAACACGATTCTTGACCCTCGAATGCAAGAAAATGGTGCGAAGAAAGAGATCATTATGGTTGCTAATCTTGCAGAAAGATGCTTGGATTTAAATGGAAGCAAAAGGCCAACTATGAAAGAAGTGGCCAAGGAGTTGGACCAACTAAGAATGTCTTCCAAAAGCTTATTTAAACCTTTTCTTTTCTCATCTGTACTGATTCATATTCTTTTCTAGTGAAACCTAAACATCAGCCAATCGTCTGGTACTACAATTTTGTTCTGTTTTGTCATGCTAATATGGCTTTAATTAGTATAATAAATAAAGCTCTATTATTTTGCTCAATTGTCTTTTGTAAAATAAGAATGTAAATGTATTTATTTCATAAAAGACTTGACAATGGCCAAGCTCAGAGCGACTGAGTTTCTTCCCTTAATAAGCTTGTTTAATTAAGCACATTGGAAATTAATCCTCAAGTTCGGATCCATTGGAAGAAATATTGTGATTACTCTACTGAGTGTGTCACTAATTAAAGTTTAATTTGTAACTTTTTTAACCAGACAAATTCAACGGTAAGTTCAATCCAGTATGCTTGTAACAATGAGATAAGATACAACCACCTTTTAAGAATGACCCTTGCTTTGGAAAAGACAACAACGTAGAGAGAGCTACATTTACTAGAAAACTAGTTTCACGAAGTCACAACACTGATACGTGCAATACAAACAATTTGGTTGCTGTACCAGATTAAAGCTGGAAGCTGGAAGTGGAAAACGTGGGACTGGGAAGACTTTGTCAGGTTAGACTTAGTCAATTTGTTTATTCCAATTTATCAGTTTGTCGTTCAATAATAGAAGTGGAAAACGTGGGACTTGGAAGACTTGGTCAGCTTAGCCTTAGTCAGTTTGTTTATTTCAATTTATCAGTTTGTTGGTCCAATAATTGTGCTGATCTTCAGCTTAGTGGGGAGAGTGTTTCCTGATTCTCGGCATTGTTGTTAATTTTCCAGTATTGCAGACTATTATTGTTAGAATATGCAAGTTCACACGGATCATGATCCATGTCCAGTTCATCTTGTTCGTTTATCCCTCCATCAGATCAACAGCTCACATGCTTCCAGCTGTAATGTAGTTAGATAGTTAGTTCAGTTGGTTGATTAATTTGTTAGTTTGGTTAGATTTTAGTCTATAAATAGATACACTTTGTAACCTTTTACTTATTGGATAATCTCTCCAATCTTCAATGTGAATTTCATGTTGAATTTATCTTCTTCTTTTGCTACTCTCTAGTTCTATGCTAGAGAGATCTTTTCTTCTTTTGCTACTCTCTAGTTCTATACCAGAAGAGAATTTTACAATTATAAATAGTCGGAAACGTATGTTAAGGGATATATATCCCATATCGATAAATGATGTCGACACAGACTAATCAATAAAGATTTTGAACTACTCCTCTTAATAAGGTTGACATTTTNATATATATCCCATATCGATAAATGATGTCGACACAGACTAATCAATAAAGATTTTGGACTACTCCTCTTAATAAGGTTGACATTTTTAAGATGGAACCACAAATCTTAACAACGTATTCAATAAAGAGGGCAGTAAAAAAAACTCAGAAATCCTCTTATTCTAATTCTTCTTCTTGTCCGTTAAACTTTATCTTCTCTATTTCTTCCCTGTTAAAATTCTAACGTATCAAATACGCAATGAAAATTAAACAAGTTTTAATACCGAAAAGTCGGATTACCTTTGTGTTTAGATAGAATTTGTAGTAGGGGATATACCTTTGATGATTTTTATAAGTTGAAACGACTCTAAATTTAATTACAGTGATCTTAACATATCAAAATAGGCCACGTAACGATAACAAATTGAAACTCCAATACCATACAATAATTGGATAGACGAAAATTGTCATTACTTGAATTAGGTCTACTGGAGCTCTGGAAAGGCTTCAATTTTTGCGTCAACAAATATTATTGTAATTATGATTAACTTTAATTTACATTCTTCTCAAATGAATAAAATCTTGAACATTAATTTGGATTTTTCAAGGAAATATTAAAATATTGAGTTATATATAGAGTTTTTAAAATTTTAGATATGTTGAATTACTTTAAAACAGCAGTAAAAATGTAATTCAATTACAAAATTTTCCATTTGAAATGAATTATATACATTTAAAAGTTTCCAATCTACTATAATTAAGAAATCATTCTCCACCATTTATTCCACCACAACCTCCTCCATAGTCCATACCAACCCCATATTTATTTATTTTTTTACTTTTGGCGGAGGAAAACCGTGGTTACAAAAGTAGTACAACATCAATCACATACAACTTGAAGCCCCCAAGCAAATTTAAACCAAACTCACCTTTGTAAGTAGACTACCCATAATCGATCCAAACAAACAAGACCAAGAGCCAACATAAGTAAATTTGTACCAGAATGAAAATGTTGTGATAGACCTTCCGCACCCATCTTTGTCAAAAAAATCCGCCACTTGATTTCCTTCTTTGAAAATATGTGTAATCTTCACTTCAAAGAGCTGCTACAAATCCAATAATTCATCCCAATAACTCCACATATACCATATTGTGCATCTACAATCGTAGAGTTACATTCAATATCAACACGATTAACACCTATTTTCTGACAAAGTTTCAGCCCCACAATAATAGCTCTTAACTTGGCTTCATTGTTAGATGCTATCCCAAAATTTGTCGCAAAAGCTGCCAACACCATCCCCTTTCTCATTCCGAATCACTCCTCCACCACCAGCATAGCCTGGGCCATCCACATTCAAAATCCATGAAACTACTTATCAAATTGAAAATAAACAAAGAGAGAGTGTGAAATCACTTTTTTATTCTTGTAATCTTACAATACAAAAAATCAACTCCAAAAACTCAAGATCAACTCATAAATGCGAAAAAAAAAAAAGATGAACTATTAAATACGGCATAAACGATAAAATCTGGATCGAAAATTAATTTTTATTAAAATACATACAATATTTCTCACTTGGTTATGTTTAATAGTCATCAATGATCTTGATTCTTGATTATCGATTACTTTGAAAACAATAAGAAATTTGAGTTCTTATGAAATATTAAAATAAAAATATATTTTTTCTGTCGAATTTGATGCAGGAGGGTCCGAGTC